TATTGTGGATAAAATTCTAATCAGAAAGCATCAAATGAGTTTTATGTTTAAATGTTTATTTGTGTGTAAATAAATTTTTGTTATAAGATCTTGAGTTAGTGAATAATTTTTTAAATTATTTAATATTTAATATACGAAGTTATTTTTTTTAAAAGTTTATTTATGCAATTTTTCCCATTTTTTCTGTGTGTATAGATTTTCTATGTGTATAGATTGTATAATATGTGTTTCTATGTGTATAGATTGTATGATATAAAACATGTGTAGATTTTCTATATTTATATCAACACAATTTTACAAAATAAAGAATGATTAATTACCTAATTAAATACGTAAAAAAAAGAATGAAAACTTTTAATTCTTTAATTTTATGTATTTTATTAGAAAGACCAAAGCCAAAACAATCAAGGTCAAGGCCAAAAACTTCAAGGCCAAAGCCAAAAGTTTCAAGGCCTTAGTTTTTGGTCTTAAGGCGAGGTCAAGGCCAAGAACTAACAACTCTGGTCTAAAGAAACCTCTATATAGAAAATAGTATAAGTTATTTTTATAGAAAAGCTATGCAAATTTTGTTATAGGGTAAAAAATTAATGACAATTCCATTTTTTTTTTACTTTTAAATTGTATTTTTAACAGTTTAAATACTGTTTGAACAGTTTTACTTCTCGTGGTTGTCTCTGGTTTGCCAAATATTTTAAAGCAACAAAATATTCTTCATCAGAATCGGAACAGTATAAATCCATAAGAATCGGAACAGTCTAAATTCATAAGAAACTGTTAATTTTTGTTAATTTTGATGTTTTCAACTCATAAACATTTTGTTTTTGACAACCTTTTATATTATTGATTCGGACAGTAGATTTCCGAAAATAAATTCAGAGCATAGATATCTGCAAAATTTTATGCTGCTAAAAGTTTTCTAACATTAGATGAAAAAACATTTTACGTCTCTAAATTTACAGCTGTAAAAATTCCAGAGTAAAAATTCCGTCGGTAGCATTTTACGCCTATAAAAAGTTTTATAACATTGACCCCAGGTGGTACTCACAAACACATACTGAGTGGAGACCTAAAGCACCTCCAACAGGAATACACCACTTTGGTCTAAGTTTGCAAAACTTAGAAAATCCAATCTTGATATCTAAGAAAATTTTACCAAACTCTAAATAAAGTTCTTTTATATTAAGTAATAGTAGTCTTTTTTGAAAATGTTGTTTTTTACTATCGACTTGGATTGAGACATACTGCTTTTTCCCTGAACACATTCAAGAGTATTTATCTGATTGGTAGAATTCATGAACTTGATTTTTTACTTTCTCACTAATAGTTCTTTCTTCTTTTTTTGACGGTTCTGCCAGTATGTCATGCATTTGTTTCAAATGTCTTGCAGTTTTTATCATTCTTTGGGAAGCAGAAAAATAGTTTTGTTTATAGTCAATTTTCCAACTCTCAGGAACCAAAGTTAGTAATTTAAGTTTTTCTGATTTTGAAAAAATATCAAACTTTGTTTTATTTAATTCCATTAGTGAGTCCAAGTCTTGTTTACTGTTACAACATAGCTCTTTTGTTTTTGGTTCATCATTTATTAAATATACAGGCCTTAGCATGAAGAAAATTGTCCAGCGCGATTATTAACAGCAAACATTTAATTGTTTTTTCATTAAAACAATGAAAAAACAATTAAATGTTTGCTGTTAACGTTTTATATAAAAAAGTCTCATTCACAAATCACCATTCATTGTTCGTAGAAATTAGTGCTCAACAGAATGATGTAAGTTAACATGAAAAAATGAGTTTTTTAAATAAAGTATAACTTTAACGTTTTACCTCAGTTGAAAAAACTCAATTAAAGATATGAGAATAGAGATTATTTTATTTTTAACATCAAGCAAACTTTTTTGTTTAATTAAACAAGAATCTTTAACAAAAACTTTTTATAAAAAAAATTTAATATAAAATCAAGTAAATCATTATTAGTTCTCTCCCAAATTTTTAGGATGAGCAATATCTTTTGCCAAGGCCTGAATATAGTTTATCCGGGTTTTTTTAAAATCCGGAAAATTGTTTGTGTAAAATATTCGAAATATATTTTCCCTTACTTTTGCTTTTAGCTGAATTGTTTCAATATTTTTTCTAAAGTTTTTATAATTTTTGTATGAGTGATGAGTGAAAAAACATAAAAAAATATATATTACAAAAGTATGCAGCTAAACTTGTATGTATGGAAAATGTTTTGAAAATTGGGAAAAACTAAAAGTTAAGAAAAATATCCGGAAAAAGATAATCCCTGATTAAATTGGGAGAAACTTCTAAACAGTTGCTATTTTCTTTTTGGTGGCAGTATGGATCTTTTTCATCTTTCTTTTTGCATAGCTGACCCTTTCTTTATGGGCTACTAGTTTTAGAGGTGAACAACCAAGGCTATTAATGCTTAAATTAAATTTTTCATTTGAAATATAAATCTCATTAAAATCATTGTCTTTATTTTTACATGAATCGCTTTTATAATCTTTTTTGTTATTTTTTAAATACATTATTTTACGACAATCTTTATTTAATGTTTTTCCAATGCAACATTGAGTTAGATCTAAAGATGCACTAGCCATTTAATTTTAATTATTATCTAAAAAAATTTATTTAGTTTCAATTTTTGAAGTGTAAAGGAAAGTTTCCATGAGTTTTAACATAATAATTAAATACAAAATGATAAATTTTATATATAAAATAAAGATAAAAAGTACACCTAATAACTTGTTTATCATTTCACAGCTTTATTTAAAACATTTGTGTATGTTCACTTCTTATTTTGCGCACTTGAAACACTTGAAAAACACTTCATGCATTTGAAAAAAATCAGTGAGACCGTTAATAATAAATTTCTTTTAAGATAAGTTCTGTGCAAAAATATGCATGTTAAAAAGTAAGCGGACAGGGGGAGAGAGACAGCTAAGGCTGAGTTTAATTCAATCTTAGTTTATAGCTTATTTCTAGTAATGATTAAAATATACTTTTATATATATATATTTTTTTTGCATTGTAGTAGATAATGAAAATTAAAGTACATCAATATCTATATTTTTATTGTTTTCAATGCATTTTGTGCCAACTTCATTGCTCTGACTTTGTCACTTCTCCATGAGTACCCACTAATTTTTTTTCTGAATTCACCTTATTAAAGTCTGTTAAATCAGTAAAAAAAAAAAAAATATGAAAATCAGTTTTGATCCTAGGTTACCGGTGGTTTAAAGGGAAGGCACAATTTTTAAAGTTTTCCCCGGAGCCATTTTTAGAAGTCCATTATTTCTTACTGAATGGTATCTTATTAGCAAATTTTTAAAAATTAGGAAGCCTACCATATATAGAAACGAAAAAGATATGTTACTTCTTAAGTTACTAATTTTGTATATTGACCCATCAAAAATAAACTTTTTATATCTGCAAACAATTTTTTAGATTTTTTAGGCAGCCATTATGGATGAAATGTGACATTAAAAAAATAAATGTCAAGGTTTTAAAAAAGTAAACCTTCAGTTGTATTTAATAAAAAAAACATGAAGGTTTTCTGAATTTTTATTTTTTAAAATACAGAGCTTCAAAGTATGAACAAAACATGTTTTTGCTGATGAAGTTTTAATTTGAAAAAAATCAGAAATTTCAAATGTCAATAACTCAGGAACCACAAAAGATTTTAAGCTGAAATATTCAGGAATTGATTTTCTCATTGATATAAACAAACCCACCAAGTTTCATCAAAATCTGAGGGAGTCCAAGTTGAATGGAATGACCCAATTAAGATAGTCGATGTAGAAACACTCCCTTGCTACAAGGGAGTGTATCTACATCGACTATCTTATATTGCGGTTTTTTTAAAAATTTTTAAAAAACAATAAAATTTAATGTACTTCCGCATTAATTTAATTACTTTGACATTTCGATGACAATCAAATACAGCTTAAGAGACGAGGTAATAAAAATTGTAGTTGAAAGAGACTTTTTTTACTATAAAAGTCTCTTTCAACTACACTATAAGGATATATATTAGGGTGGAGCGATTTTTATAGCAAAAAAAAAAGTTTAAAAATCAATATTCCTGAGACACGAATCGATGTCTATTAATTATAAGATGAAAGTAAAAAAATATTTTTTGGTTTTGATAAGATCTTGAGGTTCTTCTAAACTATATCAACCTTAGACTCAAAAAAAGCAGAAAAAAATGCTTGTTTTATTAATAATAATTTTATTAAAAAAAAATTTTTAGTGAAAAAAATATTTGCAAAAATATACCTTAAATCCCCTTTTTGATGAAGACAGGGGTTTTTTAATGAAAAAAGCAACATTATTTTTTTCTCTTTAGTTTTAAATTAAAACAAATATTATATTCAAAATAAAATTTGAGTACCAGGTTAATATAGTTTAGAAGAAGAAAAATTTCAACAATATTAGGATCCGTCATAAATTTAGAATCCAAAGAGGAACCTCTAAAAATCATTTATATAAAAAAAAAAAAAAGTAAGGCTCTTTTTTCACCATAAGACATCGATTCGCAGCTCAGGCTAATCAAATTTCGAAAATTTTTAAAATCGCTCCACCTTAATATATATATATATATATATATATTAGGGTGGGTCACTTATGAAAAATTTTTGAATTTAGGTTCGGCTGGGCATTTTCCTTATGTCTTTGACCGTATGATAATGAGAAACATTTTTCTTTTTATTTGCATTTAATGTTTAGTCAGGTAATTTTTAGACTGAAAATTTAAGTTTTATCATAAATATATCGTTTATGCGAAGTTATGAAAAATGGTTTGCTACTACTCAATAAAATAAAGTCTAAAAAGATTCCTGAGCCTTAGTTAACCTAGTTACATCAACAATATATTAAAGTTACATCAAAAATTAAAATTTTATGGTATATTAAGTCTATACACGTAATAAGACATTAAAATATTGATAACAGCATTTTCTGCATATTTTTCTAAAATAAATTGTTTACTCAATAAAAAGTTAAAATACTGATTACAAAATTTTCATCAGATCTTTTTTTGATTGGCACACAGGCATCAGCTCTCTATGAGCCATTGTAGCCTTTATGAACCCATCTCTTCTCTCGGCACCAAACACCGACATTGAAGCCCTGGTGACCTCTTTCACAATGCGTTCAATAGATTGACCGTGAATAGGGAAGTTTGGTACAACCATTGGATTATTAATAAACTGTATAATATCATCTCTAATCAAACAACAAAAAAAACCGGTTCACTGATCTCCTCTGTTTCCCAATTGATTAAATCTATTAGATTATTTGATTCAGTGTTTATCACTGGTATTCTTCTAATCCTGCATTTTCTGTCTCCAACATCCTTATTTTTTGCACCTCAAATCTCCTTTCTCCTTCATCTGAACTACAGAGCATTGTCTGAAGAATACATTCACTGTGTGCATTCCAGGCAGAGGAGCAGATATGCGGTAATACAATATCCTTCACAAACTTGTTCTGTTTTTTTACCAAGGCTAGTTGCTTAAGGATATGATGTGGACCTTGAATCCAGCTATGTTTAGTCTAATGTCAATTACTTTTCTTTAGCATAATCACAATTGTTTTACAATTATTAAAGTAAATTATAGTATTTAAGTAAAATATTGTATTATATCTTTATTTACATAACTAAGTTTCTTACCTTAAGATCAAACCACATAATCGAATAAACACCCATGATGACCTCTGTTAACAATTTCAAGTTTTGTAGATCTTTGTTTTTCAAACAATGCTCTGAGCAACAGATTCGAAGTAGTCTATTTGCGAGATTTAACCACCTTGAATGATTGTGTAGACCAATTTGAATCTCCTTCAAGTCATCAGGAAAAACATCTGATGCTATTGCATTATGTATTCTGTATAAATACTTCTGATCTGTAGACAGTGAATCTACAACTTCTTTCTCGAGATGAATTAGGTCTACAACAAAATCAAGCTGAGGGATGCATGTCAAAATAGGAAGATTTGTTGCTATGTTGATAAGTTTTCCGATGTTTCCTGAGAATCTATTTTCAGATAAAGTTTTTCCATCTAAAGCTAACATTAAATGCCTAAGTGGCAATTCGTTGGTATGTATTGCACAAATAATCCAGATAAGTTTGAATCCTAGTTTTTTCTCTAAAAATTGAATAATTCCACCCTTCCAACCTAAAATAAATTTTTATTTTCAGTAAAAAAAAAAAAGAAGTACATAAAATTTTTAACAACCATTTAAAGAAATAAAAATAAAACCTGTGTTAAGGTTGGTTGAATCTCCTCCAATTGCAATTAATTGGTTTTCAATGCCATGTGCTATTATCCAATCATACAATTGTTCAGCAATATGTTCAGCAGGTGTTCAAGCTTCTCTCTCCTCTGAATTATTTACAAAGTGGAATAAATATTTTCCACCAGGTTCAGAACAGACACTATAATGATCTTCTTTGATCTCCCTAGGATAAGATTTACCATCATTGCCATATACAACTGTTTTAGTAAGGTCTTTTCTACCATCAAACATAATACATTGTATGCCCTCTTTCTTAACTTCATTATTATGTCTCTCTTTACAGACATTTTTATGATCTAGAGCTAGGTGTTTATCAAGTATATGATCTTTCAAAAAACCTGCATCTTTGGCTGCTTTTAATGTTGCAGTGCCTATTGATGCAGTTGCTCTGTTACTTGTACCAAATTGTAATGCTGACAAAGCGATATGATTTACATTTAAAGGGATCCCAAACTCCCAACACATGTTGTGTTCATATTAAAGATAATGTTAAAAAAAAAGGTTTGAACCAAATTTTTTTGATTAAAAATAAATAATGAATGCATACCGTGAAAAACAAATGTTGTTGTTTTTGCCGAAGATCGTCTTCTCCATTTTTTTCAACTAATCGGAGTCTTCAAATTATGCGTCGCAATCTACAGACTTTGGCAATTCCTTTGAAGCGCGTTTAATTCATAAAAGTTTTAGTATTTGACGTCACGGTAGACTTTTAATAAATTAAACTCTAGAAATATTTTTATTTATTTTTAGTCGAAGTTTTTTTGATTATTTGTTTAGTTTTTTTTTTTTTCTACTTTTAATATTTAAAAAGATATTAAAAACCTTAAATATTTTATGCTGGTTCGTTGCTATAAATTGTTATTGCGCCATATATTTAATGTTTATAAATTATGAATATTTCTCTATGAATTATCTCTCTCTATATGAGAGATCTTTTATCTTTTATCAATTATCTCTCTCTATATGAAATATCTCTCTCTATATATCTTTCTATATGAATTATCTCAAAAATTGTTTTACATTAATTACCCGTATAAAATTAGTAACAGCTTTTTTATTTGGTTAGACGATATTTCGTTTCAATTTGCTTTGCATGAAGTTCGGAAAGTCAAACTAAAAAAATTAGTTTGAATAATCACGTAAATCAATATATATTTAAAACAAATTATTTTAATGACGGGGGTTCTAAAGTTTTTTATAACAAATGTAGGTAAAAAAATAAATAACTAAATAAAAAGTTCAGTATTAAACACCATTTCTTTATTCTATTGCAACTGTAAATATTGAATTATTAACTTGAACTAAATTTACTTATTATTTAGAACGACTAAGCAATAAAAATAAAATGCCCCTAAAATTATTTGAGATTGTGTTGTTTATTTGATAATTGTTGTTGGCAATGTTGTTTATGTTGATTATTTTCATAAATATCAAAATAGTTCCAGATTAACCGGTTCGTTGCTTTGCTCATTGTTGATTTATTTCTAATTTAATTTTATCTCAAACTATAATTATATGTTAAAAAAGAAAAGTTTTAGTTTCATCGGGCGCTCTTTTTATAAAAGAGTAGAACAAAAGAGAAAGAAAAGCAATTAAACTTTGAATGAGTAAGAGTTGTATAGAATATATATATTTTTTTGCTTCACTCATTCTTTTTTTAGATGAGAGAAATAAAAGTTTAATAATAAATTTTCTTTGAATAAGTGAGAATTGGAAGAGAAAATTGCTTGAAAATTTATATTTGTTAATTGTGCTTTTAAAAATTTTTAATTTTTCATGTTAAAAGATAAATACCAATTACGACACAAATTTGGAAATACCAAATATAATATGTTTTTTAATTCGCGTTATGACATTTTAACAATCTAAATTACCATCTATCTTGAATTATTGCCTTTAATTAATGTGTTAATTATTGCGTTATTTAATAATAATTTGTCCGTATTTTTGTTAAATATTAGTTGTATAAAACGGGCGAAAATATACAAATTTTATGTTTTTTATTTGATGGTTATAAAATATTGAACAGTAAACTTATAATCAAAATTTCTAATGCCGACTTGTGTTGCAATTAATTGTACTTTTAATGCAAAATCAGGATTTCACAAATCCTTTCACGAATTTTCATATCCGATACTACTGTCAACTGTATTGTTTAGTGTATTCTTGCACTTTTTTTTCATAATCTCAACAGGTTCTAATTGGTATAGAGTTGCTGACCCTTTGAAAATTTCATTATCAAAAATCAAATGTAAAATAAAATGGTATTTCCTTTTTATCCGTATCCAATTCAGCAAATTTAGCAATTTAAATTAAATCAGCGTGATCAAAAAAATTTTATAATAAAAAAAGTTAACAATTCATTAAATATCTCTAATTAATACTGTCAGTTTATGAAAGTAATTGTTAATAAATACTTTTTTTTGACGGGAAAACAAAAAACTGTCATAGCGTAAAAATAACCAGAGAAGTTAGAAAATAGTTCCCTTTGTTTAAATAAAAATAATTAAGAATCAGAATATATAATACTGCGCTCTCTTGCGCAAAAACAAGAGACCGTATATAAAACGTTCTATATAAAGTAAAATACTCGTATGAAAATCATGAGATTGGTAAGTAAAGCTTTAATATTTGTTTTAATTAAAATAATTAAAGAAATATAAGTAAGATATATAAATCTAAAAATTATTAATATATCTGTAAAAAATAAGTTGCTCCTATAAAATAAAAATAATTTATTGTTTTTACTTTTTACAAAATTTTTTTTTGCGATGTTTGGAAAAATAATGCAAATAAATTTGTTATGCTGTATGTTAAAAAAATACTACAGTAGAAAAACGCAGCTTAGTTTAATTACACTTTTCTTTTGTTAAAAGTCTACCGTGACGTCAAATACTAAAACTTTTATGAATTAAACGCGCTTCAAAGGAATTGCCAAAGTCTGTAGATTGCGACGCATAATTTGAAGACTCCGATTAGTTGAAAAAAATGGAGAAGACGAGCTTCGGCAAAAACAACAACATTTGTTTTTCACGGTATGCATTCATTATTTATTTTTAATCAAAAAAATTTGGTTCAAACCTTTTTTTTTAACATTATCTTTAATATGAACACACCATGTGTTGGGAGTTTGGGATCCCTTTAAAGTATTTAGCTGAGAAACTTTTTTTATTTCTGGTAAATAAAGATTGTCATTATAATTATTCTCAACATTGTCTGACTCCACATCATTTTGAGATAATACTTCAGAATACTGTACAGTCTCAATCCTTTCTCTCTTTGATTTGTTCTGCTTTCTTTGATGGTATTTTTTTTGTCTGGATACTTCTTTTTTATCAACTGAACCTGTTTGCATTCCACTTTAAGGACCAACTTTATCCCTCTGTGACTTTAAAAATTTAAGTTCAATAATAGGAATTTTATTTCCCTGAGAACATTTGCAAACAATATGAAAAACTTGGTTGAAGCCATAACAATCAGATTTTTCGCATGATTTTATTGAACATTTACACTTAGCTATGTCAAACAGTTTATCTAAGATTAATTTATGATCAGAAAGTTGCTTAGATGTTCCCCTACCTAACGCCAGATTATATGCTTTTTTCCAGTCATATATGATTCTTTCTTTTCCTCTTTTATCAGAGATAATGTGGATTAGCTTTTTGACATAAATATTTTACTGAGGTCCACAATTTTTCAGAAGTTAGCCTTAAATTTTGGTTATTTTCTTCAATCCTTCTAAGAAAGAGACCATATCTTAAAACATCTCTTAAAGTTGGTAGTTCTGACTCTAATAATGTTTTTCCTGTACCAATTAGCTTTGTTAATTTACATTTAACTTTATCACGAGTGTTTTGAGCCATTCTTTATAACTGTAAACATATTTCTTAATAAAACTGCTACTAGTGGTCCGACTTTAGCGTACATAAACAAAATTTTCAGAAATACGTCATCATACATTTTAAAAAATTAACTGTTACCCATTTCTATGGTAAAATACCCCACTTAGTTGCAATATTTTAGGATCATATTTTGACATTTTTATTGATAAAATAGGTGTAGTTTAAGACATTTATTGATTTAAAATGGTTTGAAGATGGCAAAAGTAAAAAAATTGACAAAACTCTGGGGAAATTATATATTTATGATAAAACTAAAATTTTCAAGCTGAAAATTACCTGACTAAACATTAAATGCAAATAAAAAGAGAATTGGTTTTCATTATCATACGGTCAAAGACATAAGAAAAATGCCCAGCCGAACCTAAATTCAAAAATATTTCAAAAGTGACCCACCCTAATATATATATATATATATATATATATATAATATATATATATATAATATATATATATATATATATATATATATATATATATATATATATATATATATATAAATATATATATATATATATATATATATATATATATATATATATATATATATATATATATATATGTATATATATACATATATATATATACATATATACATATATATATATATATATATATATATATATATATATATATATATATATATATATATATATATATATATATATATATATATATATATATATATATATATATATGTATATATATATATATGTATATATATTTAAATATATATATATATATATATATATTTGTTTATTTGTTTATATTCATAATTATGTATTATTAGGATTTGATCAAAGAAGCTTGCAGGTTTCGTAAAATTCATCCTTGTAATGCAGTGTTTTTTGGCCTAAAAACATATAACAAGTCTGTTCCAAAATGGGTTATTCCTACTATAAAAATTCAAACATTAGACAAAAAATTGAAGTATGTTTTACGATTACAGTTTAAAGTGTTAAATGTTTCCAGTTTGCGTAAAAATGATGATGTTTATGCATACCAATATTATTTGTTGCAGGTAAGAAAAATATTTTAACAATAAATAGTAATAAACTATTGAAGTAAATTTTAAGCTTTATATTTATTTTATATACAGTTGTGGTTAGCCTGTTGCTTTCCTTTTTTTTTTTTTAATATTTTATTATTTATGCTGAAAAAATAGCTAAATTAAATTTTAATAATGGTTGTTTTTATTTTTTTATTTTTTATTAAGCAATATTTTCAAAAAAATGGTGCAATTTAAAAAAAGTTTTTTTAAATCTGTTTTTTTAAAAAGTTATGTAATGTTGTTTTAAACAAATTTTATATATATATTTTTTTTAAAAAAACTATGCATTTTAGCATCCTTTAAAAAAAAAGTTTTATCTGCGTTATATTATTTATACTTTTACATGACATGTTTACTTCAAGTTATATTTATCCTATCTACTGTTTGTTATATTTTTTGTGTAATATTAGGCTATTTCTTATTAAATTAATGTCATTATTTATAATATTTGAAATATTTACTTAAGTTACTCAATTGTAAGCTTTAAATTTGTCAAAATAGTTTATTTAATTTTTCTTTAACTTTTTTTAGTGTCGACATGACTTTAAGAATGGAGTTTATGCAAATTTAGTAGAAAGTAAAAACGAAACTGATTTATTGAGAATGGTTATTTTGGAAATGTACATTGTTCACCAAACAACTGCAGTTTCTTTGAAAGACCTTTTGAAAAATAAAAGAAAGTAAGTAAAATACTTGATTTAAGTTATTAAAAGATTGATGCAAATAAAAAAAATAATCAAATCTTGTATTTTCAAATATCAAATTTATTTTATAATTTTTTGATGATGATTTTTGATATTTCCACTGATCCACATGTTTTGTTCCTTCATCATTTCAAAGATAGTATTTGTTTTTTAGTAAAAAAAACAACAAACAAAAGACAAATACTATGTAAAAATAAAAGGCAGAAAAATAGGCATTTCAAAAATATCTTTATTTTATCCTAGTGTTTTTTTAGTTATAAAAATGTTGTAGCATAATCAATTGTTTTAATAAAACAACAATATAAAAATACTGTTATACTATAAAAGTTCATTCATTTCTCCTTTTCTTCAAAGCTCTAAAAGAATAATTAAATAAAAAATGCCAACATATTAAAAATTTTATTAATAAAAAGTTTTTATTATAAGCTTGGTTTTACTCATGTAAACTGAATTACACAGTTGTGGAGGTGGGCTGGGATGTAGCCTACCATTCCTGCCAAAATCTAAATATATATATATATATATATATATATATATATATATATATATATATATATATATATATATATATATATATATATATATATATATATATATATATATATATATATATATATATATATATGTATATATACGTGGGTGCATATATGTAAATATTAAAGGTGATTTCTTTATATTATCATGTATAATAATGTATATTTTAAAGAGTGCTCAATAGATAAACTAGAGCTATATAGTATATATATTACTGTTACCCGCAGTATCAGGAATTAGCTAAATGCCAATATTTATAATATTATATTGCAACTTAAAGTTTCATGTGTTACCACAATCATCAGGCAAGTAGTCAAAAGTTAATTTTGCTACAATGTGTTTAGAAAAAATTTACAGTTTATATTAGTATTTTAGATCGTTATGAGACGGAAATTGTTTAGTAGTTAAGGTTACTGTTATTATTAATTTGTTTTTGGTTAATATTTGTGAAGTTGTTGTATGTTTTAATGTCTGTTATAAAAATACAATTTAATAATAATGTGAATTGTTTTTAAAAATTATTGTATTAAAAATAAATAAATAAAAAAATAAGTTTCAAAAGTGGGTATAAAAATATAAATTATATTACGAAATATATTACAAAAGCTGTGTATGTGAATAATTTATTAGTTAGCCTAGAGGTGTACAAAATAGGGTTGTGTAGTTGATGTTAGTGGTTAGTTAGGTTTGTAGCGAACTTTGTAGTTTTTTAATAAAAACTTGTTTTTTTGGCGGCACTTTGATATGATTTCGTTTCGTTTATTTAGGAGTTCATCAGGTTTAGGATAGGATATAATTGCAAATTTCTCGTATAGACATAGTGGGCACCTTTTGGAAATATTTGAGTAGGGGGGGGTACAGATTTCAGAATAGACCATGTAAATATTGGGGTTTTGTTAAAATTGTTTTTTAAATCCCAGACGTAGTTTGATAAGGTGGTGGACTTTTTGTATTTAACATTATTGAATGATGATTTGTGATTGTTGTATCTGTTTTTACAACCATATCTGTTTTTACAACAATGTTTTTACAACCATGTTTTTAAAAACCATAACAAAAAAATTATTTTCCCAAAAAATGAAAATAATGACAAAAAATGCAATTGTCGAAAGGAAGCAGAATGCCCCATGAATGGAAAGTGTAAATCCACAAACGTTATATATAAATGTATCATCGCAGCTAAAAATCAGCCCAACAAAGTGTATATTGGATTAACCGAAGGCGAGTGGAAAAACAGATACAACAACCACAAATCATCATTCAATAATGTTAAATACAAAAAGTCCACCGCTTTATCAAACTACGTCTGGGATTTGAAAAACAATTTTAACGAAACCCCAATATTTACATGGTCTATTCTGAAATCTGTAACCCCCTACTCAAATATTTCCAAAAGGTGCCCACTATGTCTATACGAGAAATTCGCAATTATATCCTATCCTAAACCTGATAAACTTCTAAATAATTGTGGTAACACATGAAACTTTAAGTCGCAATATAATATTATAAATATTGGCATTTAGCTAAATCTTGATACTGCGGGTAACAGTAATATATATATATATATATATATATATATATATATATATATATATATATATATATATATATATATATATATATATATATATATATATATGTATATATATATATATATATATATATATATATATATATATATATATATATATATGCCTATATAAATAATTTAAAATATATTCTACGAAATAGAGTGCTCAATTTTCTTAAAAAAACAGAGCAATAATAAATCAGTAAAAATCACTTATCAAACTTTTTTCATCTAGAAATCTATTCCAATTTTTTGTTCAATAAACATTCTTGGTTCTCATGTGTAATTATTTCAAATTTTTCTTGAAAGCATAATATGCATTTTTTGGAAATGTTATTTATATATGTGTATAAATGTATATTTGGAAATGTTATATGCAGGTGCTGTTTTAAGAATGGAACAATTCAATAAAAAATCATCAATATATATATTTTTTAAATTCCCATATGTATTTTAACAGCATGGTGTCTTTTGAGTACTTTTTCCTTTTAAAGGATTGCTTATTTTTTGCAAAACGTTTTTCCATTTTTATGTAATTTATTAGAAGATGGGTTGATCAATCAATTATAAAAACACTTTTCCTATGTTAGTGGAAAATATTTTTGTTATATGGAGAGTTAAACCAAATTACATTTCCAGTTCCATTTCACTTTTTTGTATTCTTTTTTTCAGTGTCAATTTTTAGTTCAAATTTTTAAAATCCACATTTTTTGAGGATATATATATATATATATATATATATATATATATATATATATATATATATATATATATATATATATATATATATATATATATATATATATATATATATATATGAGTTACAATTTTTATGTTATTATAAAAGAAAATATTATTTGAAGGTGTCATGTTTTTATTTATGAAAATAAATTACATAGGTCAACAAGTTTTTTTCATTTTTTAGTTTGAATAAAATAAAAGGTGAAAGAATAGCTCCATAGTTTTTTTCTGCATTTTCTTGCAATCATGTATATGATTATACATGATTGCAAGAAAATGCACATACAAATCTATTTGTTGAATTGCCAGTTCTGCAACTGGAAAATCCTTTTCTTAAATCATTTTTTTTTTCAGTATAAGTAGACAGTCGATTACATGATAAACATTTTAGAAAATGTTTTAAAAATGATTTTTTACTATTACATGTAATGTAACTTGTAATAGTAAAAATATCATTTATAAAACATTTGCAAATGTAAATGTTCCAAATAGTGCCATTAGATGTTTTCAAAAATCTTTCAAAAACGATTGCAAAACATAAATGTTTAGCACAAAACAAAATTGATTGCATCACTAGTTTTGAATGAAAATCACTTTTTTTGTAATCTCTAAAATTCATAAATGTAATGAAATTGTCAAAAAGGTTCAATATTCTAGCTTTCTATTTATCGAAATGAAACCAAAAGATTTAAAAGGTTGGTCCATTATTATTGGAATAGATTCATCAAGATCACATCTAAGCCAATTTCTTCACATAATCTTATCTTCTTATTGCCCAAATTTTTCTCCTAGGCCTTGATATATATATATATATATGTATATATATATATATATATATATATATATATATATATATATATATATATATATATATATATATATATATATATATATATATATATATATATATATATGTATATATATGTATATGTATATGTATATATATGTATATGTATATATATATATATATATATATATATATATATATATATATATATATATATATATATGTATATATATATATATATATATATATATATATATATATATATATATATATATATATATATGTATATATATATATGTATATATATATATATATATATATATATATATGTATATATATTATATATGTATATATATATATATGTATATATATATATATATATATATATATATGTATATATATATATATGTATATATAATTATCAAATATTAAGTTGTTTTAGTATTTATAAAGTTCAGTCATGAAGAACTATTACAAAGATTAAAATAAAAACAAAGAAAATAATAAAAATGTTGAAAAAAAAAAACAGTTGACCGTCAATTTCAAGGGTTAACTGGTCAAATTGATTGCTCGCCTTCGATTTCTTATTTTACACGCTATATATATATATATATATATATATATATATATATATATATATATATATATATATATATATATATATATATATATATTTATATAGCATTTTATTTAACAGAGTGTTAAATAATAACTTTTTAGTTTTATTTGAAAAATGTATAATATAAAAAATTTTATTTAAAAACCATTCATTTAACCATTAATTTAAGTTCTAAAAGAAACTTCAGATGAAAGATCAGATATTTTAGTCAGAAGATAAAAAAAATTTATAACATGCAATCATTAAGGTTAGGAGATGTTCGGGACACTTTTAATACACAAGTGTCATTACTTTTATAAATTTTTTAATATTAACAGTACTATTTCCACAGACAAAGTAAATATTTGTCCAGTTAGCTATCATAAGAAAGTTCTTAAGATTTTGATTCACAATTATGAATCACTAGAAATGGAAACATCAAGAAAGAGAGTATACAACATAACCAAGTTAGCATTTAATCTTGAGATAAATGTGTTTTTAAGTACAAATATTTCAGCTACAACCTATAAAATTTATAAAAAGGTATTGAAATTGCAATTCTAAATCAGACAGCTTTAAAAAGTTTTTTGATATATTTTGATGCACAAAAATGTATTACTATAATTATGTGACACAACAGCACAAGAAAATTTAATGGTGTAGTTGTAAAAATACAAAATGAAATAGAAACCCGAGGTTTTACTATTTAGGATGTCAGCTTCGTATACTAGATCTCACTTTAAAACATGTTTTGGGTCACTTTGTCTTTTATAAATCAAATTCTAATTTTGATTGCAAAAGACTTCTAATTTTGATTGCAAAAGACAAAAGATCCATTCCATTTTTGTTCAGAAAACAGTTTTTTGAAGATTGCAAAAGACCGAAATCTTCAAAAAACTGTTTTCTGAACAAAAATGGAATGGATCTTTAGCTAACATATTTTTCTTTATGAAAAATTAAATATCGTTATTTTAACATCAAAATTTCGCGCCAAGGATTCTTTCATCTGTAATGATAATATTTTATCAACGCAAAAAATTGAAATACATTTTTATTAGATAAGGGTTGCTAACTACTGCTAATAAATTTATAGTAATTATACCGCTTCCTGTTATCACCACATAAAGTTGATTGAAAAAAACACAAAGCAAGTTGAACTTCATTGCTTACAATTTAGAAATCTTTTGGTATACTCATATTACATATTATCTGAATCTACCCTATATATATATATATATATATATATATATATATATATATATATATATATATATATATATATGTATATATATATATATATATATATATATATATATATATATATATATATATATATATATATATATATATATATGTATATATATATATATATATATATATATATATATATATATATATATATATATATATATCCAGAAGCATCGAAAAGAAGCATCTAGAATCTTCCAGAACAGGTGCACACAGGTTCATTTTACTATATAAGAGATAAACCGACAAAGAAAAAAGATGATGTAAACCGACATGTAATTCAGTCAGTATATGGAAGTCAATCGGTCAGTATTATCAAGACAGTTTATCGAAGTGAGTTTTATCACAGTGTTTTATTGAAGAACATCAATACAAGAAGTAAAATACAACAAGTGTTTCATTACTCCAATACAGTCCACATCCAACCAAGACGTTGTGTTCCACAGAGCATTATTGTATCATCATAAGGTAAATGTAACACGGTAAGCCTTGAGAAGCGTGATTATTTATTTTTATTACTTTTATGACTTCAAGTGCAAAAATGGCTTCTGACAGCCTTGTATTGGAACTAAGAAAGAAAATTATTGTCGATTACGTAAGTGGAATGTCACAAAAAAGTATTTGTGATAAATATCGCATAAAAAAATGGACCGTATAAGAGTTTTAAATATATAATAAGAGTTCCATAAGAGTTTTAAATATATAAATGTATGCCAGTATTTGAATAAATAGTAGATGTATGCATAAATTTTAATATATAAAGTATTATAAATTTTTTTCTAACCCCGGGTATCAACCCCTGCTAAGTCTTATAGTTTTGCCAGGGCTGGGTTTGAAAAAAGTCTCATTTTTAGCCAGGGTCGGGGCTGAGGCCCGGGCCCCAGTCACTTATAATGTTTAGTCATAAAGTACTATTAGTAATCTAAAAACTTCAATGAAGATAGAATTAAAATTTTGAGGTCAAAAAAAATAAATGGCCATCAGTTCCACATGTTAGCTGGTTAATTTGACTGGTCGCCTTTGATTTTTTTTTTTCCACGTTGTATATATTTTATTATTATTATTATTATAATTATATATATATATGAGTCTGTTAAAAAAAAATCATGGAGAATAAAACTTGC